CACAAGGCAATCAACACACATACACCTTGATGGTGTCCCCTTCCAGGGCAGTATTCTCACAAGGCAATCAACACACATACACCTTGATGGTGTCCCCTTCCAGGGCAGTATTCTTACAAGGCAATCTACTCCCTCATCTCCTCAATCGCTCACTCACAAACCCACACACCCGTGGAGCTACTACTTAATACACCTCCTAGAAATACATCACTGGAGTAATATTTGTTATGCAAGGGGTAACAAGTACAAACTCGTGACGTAGGCCGGTATGATTCTGCCATCCGTCAAACTTTCAGATAGCTATTTTCTTCCCATCCAACTGTCGACATGTTTGACATGAAGGATGGAGTAAGCTTGTTTATTTTTTGTTTTGTTTTCAAAGTTCAAAGTCAGTTCTACACATGTACTTAATAGCCCAAACCTTCTGCATTACGCTGTTTAAATGAATGAGTCTGACAACTCATCTGATAATAGTGACAACAGCTCTTTGCTGCCAGAAATGTTCCCTTTGTGGGGAAAGATAGGCGTTTTAGCTCACCTGTCAACCCCCCCTGGCTTGTCTAGGGAAGGGGTGGAGGGATGGGGAGGAGTATATAGTTTTTTACTCACCTGTCAACCCCCTGCCTGTTTAGGGGGAGGGGTGGGAAGGAGTTTTTAGCTCACCTGTCAACGCCCTGCTTGTCTTGGGAATAAGGGGAGGGATAGAGAGGAGTTTGTAGTTTTTTGCTCACCTGTGAACCCCCAAAGAGTGTTTAGTTTTTAGCTCACCTGTCAACTTCCTTCCTCTATGAAAACAATGCATCAGTGCTTTAGCTTAAGGTTTGTGATTTTTTATAACAATACTTGAGTACTTTAGGTTAGAGGGTGGATTTTATAAAGACAGTACTGCAGTGCTTTAGATTAGAGGTTCTGTTTCATAACATTCACAGTACTGTGAAGCACTGCATAATGTTTGTAATTCAGATGTTTAGCAATTTATGAATTTTTTAAATATGACATGCTAGCTTTAAATTTTGGTTCCAATTTAGAAGGAAAAGTGTGAAGTCTGGTTCCTTTGTCTTGAACAGCCTATATTGAGTAACATTGAAACTGCTGAAAGGTTTCATCTTGAGTTAAAGACTGTGGGTAATGGGTAGCCATCTTGACAGCTTCAGCAGCCTGGTGCTATTAATATTGATAATATCTTAATTATCCTATCAGATGAGTTGAATTAAAGCTTGCTTTAAATGTCTAGACAAACACGGGGCCGCCATAATTCAGTGTGGAAATATGTCCCTCCCTAATCAAAAATCCAATGCAGAAATTTTCATATTTCATTTCACAATTTTAATTGCATTTTAATCTTAGCATCTCATGAATAACGTACATCAAGATTATCTGAAAGCATCTGTAGAAATCTTAATTACGCATTAGCCCAAGCATGTGGTCCTCATCTGCATACTCCGCTGGTACACAAAGGCTGGATATTCAAGAATATTACAAGCTGAAGCAATATTGGTTTATTGTATTAGTAGGACTGGACACAAGACAAGCTCACTGTAGTATTTATTAGCAGAAATGGTCGATGATGATGTTGGAAGACAATAAAGATGAGCCCACTGTTTGAGTTGGAAGGATGATGTTTCTTCAGTGATTAAACAGAATAACTTGACATTTGTACTCAATATTTGTTGTAAAAGAATGATTATTAGGTGCCTGTGATTAAACAGTATCACCTGTGTTGGATCTAAGGAAGAACTTGTCCTCAGCTATCCGTATCTATAGGGACATGAAGAATGAGTGAGTGAGTTTAGTTTTACACCGCACTCAGCAATATTCCAGCTATATGGTGGCGGCTTGTAAATAATCCTATATTGTGTTGTCCTCTATAGCTAAAATGTTTTAGATTTAATAACTGGTTTTACGTTTCTATCTGTGATAATCTAGTTATTTTACTGTCCTTCATCGACAGGTTTTGGTAATTTAATTCCATTTATTATCAAGTTATGACTTTTTGAGTCTTGATATGGCTGAAATATTGCCGATGTGACTATAAATCTTAACTCACTCACTGTAAATCAATCCAGACAATCCAGTGATCAACATCATGAGCATTGATCTACGCAATTGGGATACAATGACGTGTCAACTAAGACCGTGAGCCTGACCACCCGATCCCGTTAATCGCCTCTTACGACAAGCATGGGTTACTGGAGGCAAATTCTAACCCAGATCTTCAGGGGTAAGGGACGTGAAGAGGATTGATAACTGTTATATTAACACTGGTGCAGAAACTGTCTGGAGTGAATACATGCTGGACCGACAAAATGTTGTTTCCCAGTAAGTGTATACAGGTCCTTTAAAACCAGTGCTTGATGTTGTGACAGTGTGGATGTTGATAGCTGCCTGATGGTGTAACAGTGTGGGTGTTGATAGCTGCCTGATGGTGTAACAGTGTGGATGTTGATAGCTGCCTGATGGTGTAACAGTGTGGATGTTGATAGCTGCCTGATGGTGTAACAGTGTGGATGTTGATAGCTGCCTGATGGTGTAACAGTGTGGATGTTGATAGCTGCCTGATGGTGTAACAGTGTGGATGTTGATAGCTGCCTGATGGTGTAACAGTGTGGATGTTGATAGCTGCCTGATGGTGTAACAGTGTGGATGTTGATAGCTGCCTGATGATGTATAACAGTGTGGATGTTGATAGCTGCCTGATGGTGTAACAGTGTGGTGTATGTTGATAGCTGCCTGATGGTGTAACAGTGTGGATGTTGATAGCTGCCTGATGGTGTAACAGTGTGGATGTTGATAGCTGCCTGATGGTGTAACAGTGTGGATGTTGATAGCTGCCTGATGGTGTAACAGTGTGGATGTTGATAGCTGCCTGATGGTGTAACAGTGTGGATGTTGATAGCTGCCTGATGGTGTAACAGTGTGGATGTTGATAGCTGCCTGATGGTGTAACAGTCATCGTAAAACTTCATTGCCAACTTGATGTATGAGATGTCAGCCTCTAAGCATGGAAATTCATCATGGACATCTAATGGCTAAAAAATGCTGCAGTTGTGTAACTAGGCTGGCCACAGCGAGCAGCTCACCGTGAGGTGGTGGGCGGAAGTGCAGAAAACTGCCCACAGCGAACAGCTCACTGTGAATGGTGGTTGGCAATGCATTATATGCCGCCTGATGAGCACAACTGTGTTTGCCACAGCCAGCAGCTCACTGTGAGTGATGGTTGACAACACAACATCAATGTGTTGGTTTTGAGTGATGGCAATGTTGACAGCACAACAATGCAAGCAGCTCACTGTTAGCCACAGCGAGTAGCTCACTGTGAGTGGTGGTTGACAACAAAGTTGGTCAACTCACTGTGAGTGGTGGTTGCCAACACAACAAAGTTGGCCACAGCGAGTAGCTCACTGTGACTGATCGTTGACAACACAACAAACTCATGAGGTGGTGGTTGGCAACACAACAATGTTGGCTACAGCGAGCAGCTCACTGTGAATGTTGGTTGACAGAACAACAAACTCATGAGGTGGTGGTTGAAAGATGTAGTTATTCAGTTATTGTCATGTACCTGAATGTTGTCTCTGTTATGAGATGTGAATGTAAAGTAAAACAGGGAATATTTCCTGCTGCATTCTACTTTAAAGTTTGATTGATTGGATGAAAATGTTAAACATGCTTGAATGTGAGGGAATTGTGATGGCCGACTCAGTCTTTAACAGAGTGTGATGTTTTACAGCAATTTGGGCGACTTATTTCCTGTCCAGTGTCACATATTGACATACACATTGATCTGTTTGAAATGGTGCTGATGACTGAACATGGAGGAAGTCATGACAGCCATTTTGTCATCATTATGTTGTTGCATCACTGAGTTGGATAACCATATACTGTGAAGATTGAGATCCGTCTGTGTAGCCAGGGCTCCTCTCGGAATAATCCCCACCCTCAGCTGGTGGGGAAGTCAGTTGATATTTAGGTATTCTCAATGGTTGGTTATGTTTTTAGATTGATTTCATTCTACTTGGCCATAAAGCCTTGAAAAGGAACCACTAATCAATATTTCACAATTTTAAAAATCTGTTTCAGTTCAAGCAGCAGAAACACTGATTTTCCACATGCTTTAATTCAATAGGAATTTAATTGATTGATGCCGGCTTGAGGGAATTTTATATTTGAATATGCTCCTGGTTCATTCTGTACGGAAGGACACCTCGTTTACAATATATGCATAATCAGGCTGAAAGAGTTATGGACGTGGAGACAGACACTGACGTTGAAGTTGACAAAACATCCATTTTCAATTGTCAGCTTTCCCTGATGGAATTGCTCATTGTGCATGTCATCTATCCTTTGTGATGGAAATTTTATGTAAAACATGGTGTTGAGTTTCATGTTTAACCTTTACAGGAGTGTTTTCCTGCCTCTGCTTAAACATGCTAACATAGTAAGCTATGTTTGTGACACACATGCTTATAAGGAAATGATGGATATATCAAACATTGTTTGGTCCTCGCTTCTTGCTATATGTTTTGGATGGAACGGATTACGGTTATAACGAACTAGAGGTCCCTTTCAGTTTGTGGTTTCCTGTATGTCCATATATGGAGAAGCTGGACGCTGTATCTGGACATCAGTGTCCTACTGTGCTTGTGCAAAAAAGAGAGAGTAGACTTCAGTCTCAGAATATAATTTTTGTTTTGAATTTAAGATATATAAGATATATTGTCAAGGAGAATCTCCCTTTTTTCAGAAACCTTTTGTTTCTGTAATCTACGTGTACAAAACATAAATAAATTGTGTTCAGTATTGTCATTTCAGGATATGAGAAACTAGAGATAGACTGATAGTCATGAAACCATACTCCATGTTGTGGGTTAGCCACGGTGGATAATCAGTAAGGTCGAAGAACTCTGTAGTAGATATGGTGGTATAGTTTGGACAGCTTGGATTGATAGAAGGGCAGTTACTGACATCATCAGTATTTGAGTACCGTCTTGTTCTTGCAGTGACCGATGGCGCCTATGTGAGAGACTACCCATTCACACAGGGAGATGAGGACTATGTGGAAGCAGGTGAGGAGTTGTCTCCCTTTAACATCTTGTTTTTCAAATGAACAGCGAGACCCGAATGCATGATGTCGAGATTCCGTCTTGTAAATTCTTCACAAGGGGAACCTGATTATCTGTTCATTCCAACAAGACAACCACAAGTGATCAAAGCAGTTGTTCACATCCCGGCAACGAGATGTTGAACTGCTCATTTTCCTAGCAATGTACTACTTTTCTCTTCTTCAGAAACGATTTGATTGTGTTTTCAGAGGATCGAGTTGGCAGCCTAACGACGTCGACACATATTTTCTATATAGCAGTGGGATGCGCCTGTGCAATTATTCTCCTGATTGCGTTAGCAGTGGCAGTTTACTACCTTAATTCACAGAAGAGCAATGACAGGTACACTAAAAGGATGAACTATTAGTAAGTAAACTTCTGATGGGTGCGTGTTCTGTGTCTGTGATGTCACGTCATGATTGCGTCATTACTAACACCCCCGTCCGGCGGGATCATCATTTGTAAGTAGTCATGTTGTAGGGATTTCTTGTCATTAAACCCTGGACTAGAACTTTGATGGGAACACTATCAACAGAAAGAAAAACATACACCAGGACAGTGTTCGATATTCCAAGTTTCAATTCCAATATTTAAACTAAACAGTTTGGCTGAAATGGAACGAGAGCATTATTGTCAAATATATTTTCCTTTGTGTGTTTTTGAACCTCTGGCATGTTTTCAAATTCAAATCGTGAAAAAGAGAAAATGGTAATCAACATATTTTGAGAAAAGTAAAGAAAATCCAATCAAATTTGAGAAAAATCATGTCTAATTTGCATGTCATTTCAATTCCTTCAAGAACAAAAAATGAATTACATTTTTTTAAAATGTCCTATTTGTCATTCCTGTCCATTACTATGGTAATGATATGTTTAAGCCTTCAAGGTTTCAATTCAAATATTAAAGTAATTGTCACATTTGTTAATGTTTCATGACAAGCATGGCAATAATTCTGAAGAGAAAGCCAGTGTTGTAATTAAACGTCATTCAGTGTTTAGAAATTCATGGTGAAAATATTCTAAAAAGGTTTAATTATGAGAAATCCCTGCAAAGCTAACATTTCATTGGTGTGTTGACTTAAGTGGCATGCTCCACTAACACTCTCTCATCAGAAACATGGGTTGTCGTGGTGTTCCACACACAAGACTATGTAAACTGTACAGAAGCCAGAAGCATTATGCTGTAGGTTAAAGTCAGAAGCATTAGACTGTAGGATAAAGCCAGAGGCATTAGACTGTAGGATAAAGCCAGAGGCATTAGACTGTAGGATAAAGCCAGAGGCATTAGACTGTAGGATAAAGCCAGAGGCATTAGACTGTAGGATAAAGCCAGAAGCATTAGACTGTAGGATAAAGCCAGAGGCATTAGACTGTTGGATAAAGCAAGAGGCATTAGACTGTTGGATAAAGCAAGAGGCATTAGACTGTAGGATAAAGCCAGAGGCATTAGACTGTTGGATAAAGCCAGTAGCGTTAGACTGTTGGATAAAGCCAGTAGCGTTAGACTGTAGGATAAAGCCAGAGGCATTAGACTGTTGGAAAAAGCTAGAGGCATTACACTGTAGGATAAAGCCAGAGGCATTAGACTGTTGGATAAAGCCAGTAGCGTTAGACTGTTGGATAAAGCGAGTAACGTTAGACTGTAGGATAAAGCCAGAGGCATTAGGCTGTAGGATAAAGCCAGAAGCATTACACTGTAGGGTAAAGCCAGAAGCATTGGACTGTAGGGTAAACAGCTATGTATTGCTAGGAAGGAACTCAATAATTGGGCCCACGACAGGACTGTTAACAATGAACAGGGGAGGTACTGCCCAAACTTGACAAATGGCGATGACTTCTACTGGTTAAGTGCCTATCTTGATTTGTTCATGCAGCTGTTCAGAGCTTTTAATCGGTGACATTGACCAATAATACTGATGTCACCATCTTTATGCTGGTGTGAGACGGAATCTTCTGGGGTGTGATCAGTGGAGTAGTATGATTTGACCAACCTCCCATACCCCAACTTTGGCATATATAAGCCAACACCTCCCGTTTTATCAGCTCTGTTCATACATGTCACTTTCAGATTTATTTGAATAGTGAAGACATTTTGTAACAGGATGTAATCCTTCCAGACTTCAATCAAAAGGAATCACTAGGTATACATATAACGTTTAGGGTCCTTGTAACTGCCTGTTTCAAGATGGCAGTCATCTCGTCACTCAGTCTACTGTTCCAGGCATACAGTCAAATTTCAAAGAACAGTGAAATTTGAACAAATTTCAAATTTGTGACAAATACAAGCTAAAATATAAAACCTGTGTCTTAGCAGCTTCCATGCCTGTAGTTTGATCACAAGTACTACATCATTTTTATAAAATCAATTAAGAAAAGGTGTTAACCTATTAAGGTTTAGTTATGATTAGGGGAATAAATAAAAACAGCATTTGGTATCTGGACAGAGGGTTAGCATCTACTAACTACTAACAATACTAACATGTTTATGTGTAGTGTGGAACCAGGAAAGGTGCGATACTTTCTGGATAACAACGACTCTATTATATTATTAAAAAAATATCATACCTTTCTTATTATTCGTCAACTTCTTAAATGTCAATCAAACAGATCATCTCCAGCCAGGGTTAATTTCACCGTTATTGGTTCAATGCCAAGTGACATATTGGGGAAAAAGATGTTGTATCAGTTTTAATGTTTGTCAGTTCAAATTTGTAATTGTGGAATTGTTTAATCTGTGAGATATATGCATATTGATCTAGTCGGAAGTTTGGAAACTAATATTTTCTGTTTTCTTTTCACAGTGACAGCAGCAGCTCTCAAGCTCTTACTGCCCAAAGTCAGACGTTTCTCCGCCCTGACACGCCAAACAATGCAAGTGGGGCAGGTAGGATCACATGACACATCACATGACATCAGCTGACACGGGTCACGAAGCTCCCCAACATTGTCATTTGTCTTGTGTTTGAGTTACCTGCCTTGCCGCTACTCCTCACAGGGGTGATAAACGAGGAAAAAGGTGTCTCCGAGCTCTGATTCAGGATATGTCACACCAGGAATTTGTTTACACTGTCCTGGATTCAGTTGGTTTGCCGCAGAACAAACATTTGACGTTTTGATAGTTTAATAGTGGCGGAGTAGAAGAGGTGTCAGAACACAAATGTCGTTTTGAGAAAGGCTTTACAAATATCATATTCCAACATAACTAGTGCACGGAAGGATTTCGTTTACAAGCACTTTTAGAGATTTAGTTTTGTTGTTTGGTCATCTTCAGAAAGAAGTTGCTTTTCTAGCTCTACCATTATCAGGAGTGTCTGTTTTGTTGTCAGTGTCCACTGACAAACCCTTGTGTCTAATTAAGTAATTAAGTCCACCATAGAAAAGCATTAAACTGAGAAAGCGAGTAAGAAGTTAGGAGAAAAACTTGTGTTTTGAAACATAGCAGTTATATTTTCAAGTGATTATAATTTAGTTCCTCTTTTTCTGTGTGGCAATATCTGGCATAGTAATTTTAGTGTTTATTTTTATTTATTTTGTCTTTTTCTTTAAAGGATACTTGCCATATCTGTCATACCCAGTGCTGGACTTTGGGTTACAAAATCCCTCATTCCCCCTTTATCCTTCCAGGTACCCAGCAAACAGGCTCATAGTTAGGAACAAATGAAAGCTTTACTTTGTGTTGGCAGTGTGAATGTAAACCTTTAGACTTGTGTTGTGGGTTACATGTGTGGCCTCTGTATCCCTCCAGGTACCCATCAATAGCTGTTAAGTGGAACTGATCCTGCAGCTCTTTTCGTTTCTTCAAATGGTACCCCAAACTATCGAACTAAAAGAAGTTTCAGTAGTTTTGTTTTCATAACAGTTTCCAAGTGAAGCATCTTTGGCAGAATCTGTGAGCTCAGAAATAACATCTCTCTGTTTTCAGTTGTTTTCAAATCTCCAATGTGTTGCTGTGACATGCGTGTCACATGCAACGATTGTATTCGATAACTCCTGACTTAATTAATCATCAAACATTCATTCTTGTCCCACTGCACGTCGACTCTATCACTGCCAAAAAGCTTCATGTGATCATAAAAATATTAAAAAAGCATTCCCATCAGATGTACTTGAGTTTCGGGGATTATTGGGTTAGATCAGTTGAGAACCCCTTGTGTTGAGGTCATCAAGTAGCATGGGAGATTTACAATTTAATTATTCTGAAAATCTTGTGCAGTAGTCCAAGAGGAATACATGTACAGAGAAGTAAATAAATTATGAACTGGGATTATTTTGAGATTCCAGTTCTAGACCTATAGACATTTCATCATGCTTGAATTGAGATAGGCATGCCTTGCGCCTAACTTGCTACCCGACACCTCTGTGTCTCTCGGAAAAAATCAACTTTCTAACATTTGAATATTGGTTTCAATTTTTTACAAAGATAATATTGTCAGTGAATTTTAGATGAGGAAATGTCGACATTCGTCATGAAACAGTTATTTTCATCCAGAAAGGATAGAAGGCATGTTGAATTTTACATGGGGAAATTACAGCGTAATCTGTCATTGAAATCAATATGGCTGTTACTTGCAGCAGGGACTGGCTGAAAGTTTGCCAACCGAGATATTAGACCTCAATCAATGTGGAATTATACTTATTGCTCTCACTGGACTTTCAGTTGTTGAAAAATGTGGACAATTATTGTCACTCCTGGATGGAAATTTGAAATGGAAATGTGAACTCGAGGGAAATATGGTTCTTAATATTTAAATATGTTTCCCAGAAGATGTAAAGTATTTTCTAAAAGTTTGAATTTATTCATTATTCACTGAAATAGTCTCATCCTATCAGTTCAGCTACCCCTCTCTTAAGGAACAACTGCACATGCCAGTTGTCATACAAAACTTTACATGCCAGTAGTGATGTAAAAACTTTACATGCCAGTAGTGATATATAAACTTTACATGCCAGTAGTGATATAAAACTTTACATGCCAGTAGTGGTATAAAGACTTTACATGCCAGTAGTGATATAAAAACTTTACATGCCAGTAGTGATATAAAAACTTTACATGCCAGTAGTGGTATAAAAACTGTTCATGCCAGTAGTGATATAAAAACTTTACATTCCAGTTGTAATATAAGAACTTTACGTGCCAGTAGTGATATGAAAACTTAACCGTACCTGTAAGAGGCAACTAGCTGGATCGGGTGGTCAGGCTTGCTAATGTCGACATTAAACAAGAAACAATACAAAACACAATAATAAGTGAAGCATAAAGTGTTTGACGCCATGTTTCATGTCACTTTACACCATTACAGTGATATGTAGATTAGTTCTGGATACAGGGGATACAGGTTTTATTCTAATACACAAGTGCAAACATCTTCCAGTCGTCATGTGACCAGGTATGTCTATGTGTCTGCGTATCAGGAGAAAAGTCTCCATTTTGAAGATACATATTAATATTATATTCCCAGTGTGAGAGGGATTGGGAACAAGTTTTCCAAATTAAAACGCATTTTCCCTAATTCTAGGTTCAATCCAAATCTATTTAAGATAATTAGAACATATATTTTTACGAGACAGAAAACTTTGCCACAACAATGCTGTTTGACACGACAGCTTCATAAAACAATTTCTTTTCTTTGTTAATATTTTATTCTTATTGGTAGTGTTAAAACTTTTCAGTTGAAGTCATTAATCCATTGTTTAAACTGAAGAGCTGTCTCTGTATTTTTAAACAGTGGAAAGTCAGCATCATATATTAATGAAGAGACATGTTTTGTTGGTTGTCTTGAGAGGAGTTGTTGTCACATTTCAGAAGAAGTATATGCTGTGACCCTTATACTGCCTCAACATAAGTCTCCCTGTTTGTGTGTTGCAGGTCTCCCCAACTTTAGGCGAGGTATCTCCCCCGTCACGGAGCTGAAGCCCACAGACATCAAGTCCGTGTTGAGTGAGATTGCTGTGGAGAGGAAGAGGATAGCACTGGGGGAACTTCTCCTCGAGGGTCAGTCAACAGTACATGTGTTTAATCTGATAGTTTCAATCAGGTCAGAAGCTGAGATTACGATTTGTTGGTCTAGTCCTGTATTGTAGCATTAAGGACAGTTGGGTATACCAACTGCATTTAACTTTTTCCATTCGATGAAAACTTTTCGCAGCTGCACATATATCTAAGGACATGATATCACGTCATCTACAACCCTTGCATGCAACCAGATTTTTCCAGCTGTAGCCTCTGAATTCGATGGACGAGATAAGACGTCGGATGTTTTACAATGTTTCCATACGAGGGACGTGATAACTCATCTACTCATACTGAACATACTTCACTGTTTTCTAGCCGTGTATCCTCGTCCTGCGAATGCAATTCGTGTACTTTGTGACATGTATTTTTTAAGGATTTTCCTGATTATCTCCCCTGGTCAAAAACACGTGCTACATGACCTTGACATTCGGTGACCATACAACGTTAAATGACGTTTGATTGTTAGCAATGTTCTTTGACTGTTGACTGTTCTTGTAGTTGTTACCACACGTAGCTCTCGTTTCATCGTTCTTTGGATTTGGATGTCATGACTATAATTCTAAGTGATCACATAAATATACTAAATTGTAATTGTTTTTCCACCGTAGTGTAGTCACAGGATTGAAAGAAATTGCCACAATTACCACACTGCTGTGTAAGTTCAATTATGTTTCTCCTTTTTACAAAAAACTGCATTTCCAATGTTTCTGTGCTGAAGACTACCTATTTTTTTCTCTTTTTGTCGGAAATATTTTAATGAAAGTGAATAAAGATGTTTTGAATAAAATTCAGTTCATATGGATTTTGATGTCATGCTGGTCATGAATCGTCCATGTCAACCGTTGCAACCATGGATTCATGATATCATGTCCATCGTATGTAAGTGTCATGTTGCTAAAAATAGACTCGTATTGAAGGGTTGTGACCCATCAGACGTAATATCTCATCCTTCGAATGGAAAGAGTTAAACTGATAGTTTCAGCCAGGACAGAAGCTGTGATCAGGATTGGTTGGTCTGTCGCTGTAATGTAGCATTGGGAACAGTTGGGTAGCCTAGTGGTTACAGCTTTCGCTTGTCATGCTGAAGATGAGGGTTCTATTCCTCAGTGTGTTTTAGGGACGAAGCATTCTCTCTTCATGCTAGTTGTCTTGCTTGTTCAAGATTCTAGTGATTTGTGGGTCTGTCAGCACAATGGAAGTGACTTCCATGGGTTTACTTAGCAGGGAAACATCTTGGGCGTGCATCCCCCCGTACATGAAGCAAAGATACCACAAAATCACTGAAATACTAGAGCAGGATCTCACTTGCAGACTCTGTACAGGTCCAGAATGACATCTTTGTAAAATACAGTCACTTTGAAATGTTATCATTGTGTGTTTAAGTTGTGAAAGAGACTTTGTCAAGGCTTAAACAGCATGTCCACTTATGCAATATGTATTAGCAATTAATATTTGAGCCACATGACAGCAGCTTGATAATAATCGATTCAGGATCAGAGAGATTGATATGGAATAGAATAGAATAATTCTTTAATGCCTTTTCAGGATTTTGTGTTACATCAGCAGAGCTACTGACACATTAGAGAGATACCAAACATATTTACATAATTTCTTTGATTTAGGTATCTTCACATTTGTTTAAGAGAGATATGGTACTTGGAATAAAGGATGTATGGGCTCTCTTAGTTTTCACAATTGGAACTTTGTAGCAGCGGCCTGAAGGGAGGAGGTTGTATTCCGAATTTAAGTAGTGAGTACGGTCAGATATGATTTTGACAGCTTGATTCACGATTTGCCGCTCATATATTGATGATAAACATTCAAATCTGACTCCAGCAATTTTACTTGCAGTGTTAACAATTTTGTCTATTTTAGATTTGAGATGAACTGAGAGAGACCCGTACCAACAATGGAAGGAAAATGTTAAAATACTCTGAATAAATGCTACATAAAAAGATGACATCACAGATGGGTTAACATTAAAAGATCTCAGTTTATGCATGAGATGAAGACGTTGTTGACACTTTTTGTATAGGGCTTCAGTGTTAGAGTTCCAGTTCAACTTAGAGTCAATGAAGGTTCCCAGATACTTATACTCGAAACTGTCTCAACACATTCACCGTTGATTATCACTGGAAGCATTTCTGTGGGTTTACTCTCGAAAGTCAATTATCAGTTCCTTTGTTGTGACATGTGACATTTAAGAGTAAGTGGTTTTCTGCACACCAAGTAATAAAATGATTAATGTCCTCTTTATACAGTTCTTCAGAATCAGTGTCTTTCAGTTTGTGTTCAGTGTAGCTGATCATCAACAGGAGATACAGTTGAACAGGTTGAATTTGAGCTGCACCAATGTTGGTGTGTAGAGGGGTGAAAAGAACAGGAGATATTACAGCCTTGTGGTGCACCAGTGTCTGTCCACAAGAAAGTTTTCGATCCACTTGATGAGGTATGAGTTAAAGCCCATGTCTAACATGTCTGTGAGCATGAGATATCATGAGCCTCTTCAGACCTATTGTAGCCTGGATCTTCAGACCTATTGTAGCCTGGATCTTCCTTCAGACCTATTGTAGCCTGGATCTTCCTTCAGACCTATTGTAGCCTGGATCTTCAGACCTATTTTAGCCTGGATCTTCAGACCTATTGTAGCCTGGATCTTCAGACCTATTGTAGCCTGGATCTTCAAACCTATTGTAGCCTGGATCTTCAGACCTATTGTAGCCTGGATCTTCAAACCTATTGTAGCCTGGATCTTCAAACCTATTGTAGCCTGGATCTTCAGACCTGTTGTAGCCTGGATCTTCAGACCTGTTGTAGCCTGGATCTTTACAGGTTTAGGAGATTTGTACCAGTGTGGTATATGATTTATTGTTTCATACATATATGTTTATGAATGATGCAATGATGTATCATTTTGTTTTACAAATGATTCATGATGTATGGTATATGTTCAAAATGTGATGCACGATATATTCACATAAATAGAGTTTATTACACGAGCAAGTGTGTCATACGACTCGGGCACTACATTATTTTGCACGAGTTTTGTATGAGTTGTATGACACACTTGCTCGAGTGTAATAATTTCTAAGCAAGTGTAACGACCCTGTTAATAACATCACAGACGACGAAATACAGAAACAACGGTTACTAGGCAGAAGTGATATGTGCACATGTGCACAAATGATATATAACACTGGTTATGTTTCACGATATGGATAATAAAATGTGATATGTTTCAGGTACCTTTGGACGTATCTACCTGGGGACGTTGATTGGTGAAGATGAGAATGAAGTCAGCATGGAACAAGAGGTTTACATAAAAACATTAACAGGTGTGTGCCTCACTTCCTGATATAGAGTGTTTACATATAAAGGTGTATGTCGTCTACATGATCCTCAAATCAAGAAGTCTGAGAATAACATTCAATGTTGTGATGCTTGGAGGGAGTGTGCCTGCTGCTGGTGTTGTCTGTCATACAGACCACGAGACAAGTTTAGCCAATACAGCCCATGCAAGTCTAGAATATGTGGCAAGTCTAGATGTCCACAGTTTCAAATGAAGAAAGTCTCAGGACTCCTTTCTGTTACATTTAGTGGTTATGATATATTACCCATGTTTTCTGTAACATAGGATCATTCTGATACTACATGTTAGCCCAATGGTAGTGTTGTTGAAGGTAAAATCACAAACGATGCCAGTACTTTCAATGTACACACACATTCCACATGCGGTGAATCTGCATGCAAGTAGGCACTGAAACTGCTGCTATTTTATGTCCAGACTTTGTTAGTCCAAATCCCAATAATCCAGACCTGTTAATCCAGACCGTTATGATCTGGCCCCCATTAATCCAGACCCTATGGGCTATTTATCTGTTCCCTGTTAATCTGGACACAGTCATTGGGGTCTTGACTTGGTCCGGATAAAAGGTGCCCAGATTTAGGGTGACATGATAAACAGAATTAGGAGATAAACATGCTGTGTTGGAAAATCAGAGGTATGTAACGAAATTATGAATAGCTCTAAATTTGATTTAAAACCGAACGCATAGCATAAGGTTTTGTATAAATAAATTAGAGCTATTATAATTTCATTAAATACCTCTGATTTTCCAACACAGTATGTTGATCTCCATCCTACCATAACCGCGTTATTAAGATTTAAAAAAAAATACCTACTGTGTTAGAAAATCAGAGGTATATATTGTGATTATGTACCTCTGAATGACTTCAATTAACCAATCACAATCTAGTATTTACTGAAGTCATGGTAGAATCTCGATTAACAGGGTTCAGATTAAGGGGATGTGGAGTGTCAGATTAGCAGGGTCTGAATGAAGGGGATGTGGACTGACAGTGTCAGATTAGCAGGGTCTGAATGAAGGGGATCGGGGTAATCAGGTTCCAGATGCCCTGTTACGTTCAAACCCAACTTTTTGTTACACAGTGCATGTTGTATGTTGTATGTTTTTCAGACCAGGCCCGAGGAGACCAGGTGCAGGTGTTCCTGACAGAGAGCTGTATGTTGAAGGGTTTCATCCATCCGAACATCAACCCCGTGATCGGGGCGTGTGTGGAGGGGGAGAGTCAGCCCTTCTTGGTTTACCACTACTCTAATGAGGGCAATCTGAAAAAGTTCCTCCTCAAGTGTCGGATGTCGGAGTGTGGGTCTCGATATGTGAGTTGGACTGATCCCTTCTCTCTGTTGTATGATGAAGGATCACCAAGGGTGTCTGTGGTGTTGTGTATCCTGCAGTAAGCTTCCAGCCACTCGCTTGAGGATTAGAACCACTAACACCCCTTGTGATGCTGCTACAGCACTAAACTGTGGAAGTGGAAGTTTATGTGGAAGTGACCCCTGTTTATCCGGAAGTGGCCCCTGTTTATGTGGAAGTGGCCCCTGTTTATCCGGAAGTGGCCCCTATTTATGTGGAAGTGACCCCTGTTTATCGGAAAGTGGCCTCTATTTATGTGGAAGTGACCCCTGTTTATCCGAAGTGGCCCCTATTTATTTGCCCTGTTTATGGAAATGGCACCTGTTTATCCGGAAGTGGCCACTGTTTATGCAGAAGTGGCCACTGTTTATGCGGAAGTGGCCCTTTGCGTCCACTTTATCCGGAAGTGGCCCTTTGCGCCCTGTTTATCCAGAAGTGGTCCCTGTTTATGTGGACGTGCCCCTGATTGTGTGGTTATGTTATTTGGCTGTTTCTGCTTGTTTAGGTTGAGTCAAAGAGATCCATGTTGTGAGCATGGTCTAGGTGAAACTAATTCATGATTAATTATGTTTTCACCATGTAACAGAACTACCATGTCTTTGGTTACGACATGTTTTGTTCCCCCTGAAGGTGGAGATGAGTCTTCATGACGTCAACCACTGTCTGTCTCTTCTCGACAACCTGCTGTAATATAGCTTCAAAACACCTGCAGCGTGGAACAGTATTTTCATCGATAGGTTTTCTGATTCCTGGTCATGTTTTTCCGTTTCAGACTCTTTCAACACAACAACTTGTATATATGGCCATACAAATCATACGCGGCATACAGTACTTACATCGGAAAAAAATAATTCACAAAGATATAGCTACGAGGAATTGTGTGTAAGTATCTGAGAAATGTTACTGCTTGGTGTCCATCCAACAGTTGTATTAGATCTGCTGTGATCATCTCATGACATGATGGCAGGAGTGGCATAATGTGATGGTATGAGTGTTATAACATGGCGACATGAGTTTTATAACATAATGACAGTTATAACATGATGGTATTGACAATATGATGGTCTGTTCATAAGCAATGGCATATATGTCAAGAGTTTGTTATTTTCCAGTGTGGACGGCGACTTTGTTGTGAAGTTGACGGACAACTCCCTGTCACGTGATGTATTCCCCAGTGATTACACGTGTCTGGGAGACAACGAGAACCGCCCGGTCAAGTGGCTAGCAGTGGAGGCGCTGTTGGAGAGGAGGTTCTCCCCCGCCAGCGATGTGGTAGGTTGGAGATGTGGAGGTGTGGTAGGTTACTGTGGAGGTGTGGTAGGTTACCGTGGAGATGTGGAGGTATGGTAAGATACTGTGGAGGTGTGGTAGGTTACTGTGGAGGTGTGGTAGGTTACTGTGGAGGTGTGGTAGGTTACCGTGGAGGTGTGGTAGGTTACTGTGGAGGTGTGGTACGTTACTGTGGAGGTGTGGTAGGTTACTGTGGAGGTGTGGTAGGTGGTAGTGTGGGTAGGTGTGGTAGGTGTGGTACTGTGGAGGTGTGGTAGGTTACTGTGGAGGTGTGGTAGGTTACTGTGGGGGTGTGGTAGGTTACTGTGGTAGGTTACTGTGGAGGTGTGGTAGGTTACTGTGGAGGTGTGGTAGGTTACTGTGGAGGTGTGGTAGGTTACTGTGGAGGTGTGGTAGGTTACTGTGGTAGGTGTGGTAGGGTTACTGTGGGGTGTGGTAGGTTACTATGGGGGTGTGGTAGGTTACTGTGGGGTGGTATGGTAGGTTACTGTGGGGGTGTGGTAGGTTACTGTGGAGGTGTGGTAGGTTACTGTGGGGGTGTGGTAGGTTACTGTGGGGGTATGGTAGGTTACTGTGGGGGTATGGTAGGTTACTGTGGTAGGTTACTGTGGAGGTGTGGTAGGTTACTATTGGGGTATGGTAGGTTACTGTGGAGGTGTGGTGGGAGTTACTGTGGAGGTGTGGTAGGTTACTGTGGAGGTGTGGTAGGTTACTGTGGAGGTGTGGTAGGTTACTGTGGGGGTATGGTAGGTTACTGTGGAGGTATGGTAGAGTTACTGTGGAGGTATGGTAAGATACTGTGGGGCTATGGTAGGTTACTATGGGGGTATGGTAGGTTACTGTGGTAGGTTACTGTGGAGGTGTGGTAGGTTACTGTGGGGGTGTGGTAGGTTACTGTGGAGGTGTGGTAGGTTACTGTGGAGGTGTGGTAGGTTACTGTGGAGGTGTGGTAGGTTACTGTGGAGGTGTGGTAGGTTACTGTGGAGGTGTGGTAGGTTACTGTGGAGGTGTGGTAGGTTACTGTGGGGCTGTGGTAGGTTACTGTGGGGGTATGGTAGGTTACTGTGGAGGTGTATGGTAGAGTTACTGTGGAATTGTGGTAGGTTACTGTGGAGGTGTGGTAGGTTACTGTGGGGGTGTGGTAGGTTACTGTGGAGGTGTGGTAGGTTACTGTGGAGGTGTGGTAGGTTACTGTGGAGGTATGGTTGGTGATTACTGTGTGAGGTATGGTAGGTTACTGTGGGGAATGGACTGACAACAGTGGATAATCAGGAAGGAGACAGAAGACAGACGCGACATGGACCAGCATGGAAACAGAAGGAGCCCAGTGGACATGCACCTGAAACAGGACCAGCCCATGAACACAATGGACAATGGAAATGGAACCCATACACAGATGGACCCAGGACACAGCACAGACATGGATCCACGGATGGCCAATGGCCCACAGGCACCGAATCAACCCTGGAGAAAACGGAATGGCCCAGGAGACACACACAAAGGAAGACACACGGAGGAAGGAATCCCCAAGGAACTGGAGGATCCCACACAGGACCAACCGAATGGAACTGAACACACAGACATGGACGTACAACGGAGTGGCCCCACACACACAAGAGTATGACAGGAACAAATGGAATGGACACAAGGACAGTGACCAGCACACGATCCCCAAGGCACCATTGAAACAAACACAGAAGATAAAAAGGATAGTGGATGTGAGCACATGGAGGACCACACAACGGACGGACCAACCACGAAATGCACAGATGCACACAGCACCGTGGCCCAGGACCAAGGACATTGATGACAGTGGACAGGACCCCACGCCACCACACAGAGATTCAACACAGGAACTTGGTGGAAGATGAAACAGGACAGTGAACGGAAGACTGGAATGGTGGATACAATATGGACACTTAAAGAAAATGGATGGAAGGAATAACGGATCTGACTGAAAAGGAGGAAACAAGACATGGAATATGGTGGAGACATCTCACACGAAAAGGACATGGACAGCCTTTAGTGGTAACCCAGAAGGACACAGAGCCCACAGGAAGACTACCATACAGATACAGGTGAGCACACAGGAAGGAAACCAGTGGACAGCCGACCAAATAATGGATAGCCTTAGAGTTTGAATGGATGTCTTGAGACTTTGGACGGTTCTAGAAATGAATGGAATGGATGGAATGGACAGAAATGAACAGGAAAGGAATGGATTAAATGGAGCCCCAGGATAGATCATTAGACATTGGAAATGGGTCAACAATTGTCGTCAAGCAATCTAGAACACAGTAAGTCCTGTGTGGACATTTGTCACGAGATACGTGTGTATTCCCCTTGTATAATAGCCACCGATTTCATCAGAGCGATGTGTGTATCATACAATAGACTGTATATAATAGACAGAAGTAGTTGTGAGGAACTGTTAGGGTGCTGCAACAAAACCCATACAGGGCCCCAGCTTCTTGTGTTGCTGTGTTTAGCTGACAATCAAATATAGCTGGTACAACATTCTCACATCTCATACAAACTGGGTAGGTTGAGAGGCATGTGCAAGGGAGATAACTCAGTACAAAAGGGTTGGGAAAAATAGGCGGGGAGATACCTCAGTAAATTGTTGAAGTTTTCTAGTTGACTATTTGGTCCTGTCTTAACTTAAAAATGATGTGTTTGAAATCTACTTCAAAAGAACAAATGATCTGAAAGTAGTGTTATATGTTGTTAGTTCTCAATTAGTTTTAAAAACAGAGAATTTACCCGTTTGTTATGAACTGGGCATTGGAGGCATGATAATCTGTTTCAATTTGTTTCGAGACTGTGAACCCAATATTATTTTGAAAACTTGTAGTAGAATCTCGTTATGGCTTTCATGAATTGATAATTCTGAATACACTCAGAGTTTTCATGTCACAGGGCACTGCACATGTAACACAGGCAACTAATATGGTTGTGCCCAAGTTTCAATGCATTTATTTTCTCTGAACTGTGACGGGTGTAAATCTTGCAGGCCATGCCTGGCACACGGACCATGGAACAGAAAACTGATGAACAATCTCAAAGTGCACACACCTCTGTTCAGCTGTGAATGTGTTGATTTGTGAGTGTAGACATGTTTATATCTGTGACTGTTCTTCTTTCATCACTGGCAACTGAATAGCGAATTATGCAACACAAGATAACCCCGGCATGCTATGCAAATCATTCTCACTGCTGAAAGTGCTGTGTTAATATTTCTGTTGTGAAATCTGTTAGTGATTCCTTCCCTTTTGATCAAACCTTTTTATGAAAATACCAGGAAGATCAAACCTTCACATGAAAATACTGGGGAGATGAAAACTTTTCATGAAAATACTGGGCAGATCAAACCTTTTCATGAAAATACCTGGCAGATCAAACTTTCTCATGAAAATACTGGGGAAATGTACTCACGTTTCCATCTGTTGTTAGAGAAGCACATTTTGTATGTTTTATGACTTTATATGAATCCCAGTTTTGTTATTCACTTATGGAGTTTTACACATCATTACGCAGATTGGTCATTATAGAGATGCTTGTTGCTTGAGTTGGATATTCGTGGGTACAATAACATGTCCCATTACTCAGAGTTGAGTCTTTCCCTTCTAGACTGGAAATCAGCTCCTGTTGCAACAAATTGGGTCATCACAAGTATACAGCACACTTGTTTTTCCCTGTTAGGCTGAGATTGAATTTGATGCTAAATCTATTAAATTTAAAAGGTTTAGATTTTTAAGGTTTTTACAAAGTCATGTTTTAGTTCATATATTGTGAGAATCTATTCACAACTTTGTATCATCTGTATTTATTTTTGTATGAATAACCTGGGCAATTTCTTTTTTAATAATGTCAGATTGTTTTTGTTTGATTTAATAATGCAAGATATGCATACTCATGTTTGTTGCTATGACGAGTTAACATGTATGGAGATACTGAAAACAAGACCCTCAAGTTTGTCTCTGTAATAGTTGTTAAGTGTTGACAAAAGAAAACGCATACTTAATTTGACGACGGGCTGCAATATGTCATCTTGACACCAAAAATGTAGAAGATGGTACATTGATGAAGAGAAGACCCTTTGCCTTCTAGCTTGTAGTGCTTAATGTGAATGCAACTGTTTGAGTTGAAATGATTGCCGGTTTCTTCAGCCACCACAAGCACCATCATGAAGAATGTCCGACGTTTGTTTGTCTGTTACTTCATCAGTCCGTGTCACAATCGTCTCCCACCGGTCCCTAATTTACTGTGTGTGCCAAATTAGTCCCTGGTATGATGTATCACCAGCATCTTGTACTTATCAAACCCTGGGGATCAGTGAATGCACAAACCCTGGTGGTCGGTGAATGCACAAACCCTGGGGGTCGGTGAATGCACAAACCCTGGGGGTCGGTGAATGCACAAACCCTGGGGGTCGGTGAATACACAAACCCTGGGGGTCAGGTTGTCATAATAGAACGACTGCAGCAAGAATAAGTTCAAGGTCAAGCTGGTGAAGCCACATATTTCATATTTTCTTGGTTTACATCTGTTCATTCGAGATGGGCATTGTCGGAAAGAAATAAGATTAGTTTTTCAGCCATCTCGTTCAAATGCACATACCTCAAATTCAGGTATGTGTGTTAACTGGAGTGATCATGACTTGGTGTGGTGTCTCTGTTAACCAACTTGGTCTGGTGAGATGTAAACCAGGAGATGTGACCAACATGGCTTCATACATCATGTACACATTAAACAGTATAACTGTTGGTGTGACTTTATTGCATAGGGCAGCAGTGATCATCAACCCTGTCTAAAATGTATGTCATTGAGCTTTGTGTCATTGTGTTAATAATATACAATGTTAACATTTTTTAGTGTTCACAGAGGTTTCAAACATCATGTCTTTGGATGGATTCCTGTTTTAGGGGACATGTCTGAAGTTCTAATGGCGTTGTAGTGCGTAGGACAGACTTCAATCCTGGGTTTTGTCTATTACCAGGGCCCCAATCCACAAAGCGTTGGTAACGTTACGATGTGTCGTACTTCTATAGCTTATCATAGGCTTACGAATGTCG